ACCTCGGAGTACCTGGTGATGGTTTGTCTCTGACCCGGAGATCCCTGGTTTGACCTCGGAGTACCTAGTGATGGTTTGTCTCTGCTGATCCCTGGTTTGACCTCGGAGTACCTGGTGATGGTTTCTCTGCTGATCCCCCTGATTTGACCTTGGAGTACCTGGTGATGGTTTGTCTCTCTGCTGATCCCTGGTTTGACCTCGGAGTACCTGGTGATGGTTTGTCTCTGCTGATCCCTGGTTTGACCTCGGAGTACCTGGTGATAGTTTGTCTTTGATCCCTCTGTGATGGTTTGTCTCTGCTGATCCCCTGGTTTGAGTACCTGGTGATGGTTTGTCTCTGCCTGGTTTGACCTCGAGTAGATGTTTGTACCTGGTGATGGTTTGTCTCTGCTGATCCCTGGTTTGACCTCGGAGTACCTGGTGATGGTGGTTTCTCTGCTGATCCCTGGTTTGACCTCGGAGTACCTGGTGATGGTTTTCTCTGCTGATCCCTGGTTTGACCTCGGAGTACCTGGTGATGTTTGTCTCTGCTGATCCCTGGTTTGACCTCGGAGTACCTGGTACCTGGTGATGGTTTGTCTCTGCTGATCCCTGGTTTGACCTCGGAGTACCTGGTGATGGTTTTTCTCTGCTGATCCCTGGTTTGACCTCGGAGTACCTGGTGATGGTTTGTCTCTGCTGATCCCTGGTTTGACCTCGGAGTACCTGGTGATGGGATAATTTGTCTTTGATCCCTGGTTTGACCTACTGATGGTTTCCCTGGTTTGACCTCGGAGTACCTGGTGATGGTTTCTCTGCTGATCCCTGGTTTGACCTCGTACCTGGAGTACCTGGTCGGATAGTTTGTCTCTGCTGATCCCTGGTTTGACCTCGGACCTGGTGATGGTTTGTGATCCCTGGTTTGACCTCTGGTGATGGTTTGTCTCTGCTGATCCCTGGTGGTGACCTCGGAGTACCTCGGCTGAGTGACCTAGTGATTGTTTGTCTCTGCTGATCCCTGGTTTGACCTCGGAGTACCTGGTGATGGTTTGTCTCTGCTGATCCCTGGTTTGACCTCGGGAGTACCTAGTGATTGTTTGTCTCTGCTGCTGATCGGAGTACCTGGTGATGGTTTGGTTTGATCCCTGGTTTGACCTCGGAGTACCTGGTGCTGATGACCTCGGAGTACCTTTGTGTCTCTGCTGATCCCTGGTTTGACCTCGGAGTACCTAGTGATTGTTTGTCTCTGCTGATCCCTGGTTTGACCTCGGAGTACCTGGTGATGATTTGTCTCTGCTGATCCCTGGTTTGACCTCGGAGTACCTAGTGATTGTTTGTCTCTGCTGATCCCTGGTTTGACCTCGGAGTACCTGGTGATGGTTTGTCTCTGCTGATCCCTGGTTTGACCTCGGAGTACCTAGTGATTGTTTGTCTCTGCTGATCCCTGGTTCGATCTCAGCTACCTCCTGAACAAGACTTACCACTACAGACCTTCTGCTGTCTTCCTCTGAGGACGTTATTGTAACGAAACGCCATGTTGGGTGGGCAGGGCTCGGTGTCTGACGTCATTACGTTTTTGCACATGCGCACTGGTTAATGATACTGATAGCGCCATTTTGTTCATTGCAAGTATCACTTTATCTTTGCTGATTTGCACACAAACCTTTTTTGTAAGTGTATCTTCCTCGTACTGAGATGAAATAGAAGTTTTTAATCAGTATCTCGCCATGTGCAACACGCTTCCTTTTTAATTATATGGTCCATGCGGGAAGAGGCGTAGCGGCCAGAGTGGCTGAATACCTGCGGTTCCACGCTCCTGGGGTGTTGGATATTTGCCCTGGAAACTATCTATGTGGGTCCTGTGAGTTGTCCATGAGATCCTGTGAAGGCATCTGAGAGGGTCCGGAGCAGGAAGGAGCGTGGAATGGTGGAATGACTTTGTGACCTCCTTGTGACATACGGGTCATACTACAGGACAAGGAGTTTGGCTCCTCCTCCGGCGGCTGGATTGGTTTGCTCACATCCCGGCACAACAGCATTTGGATCTTTTGTTTTCACAAGCAGTTTTGTGGACTTTTTATCACTTTATTATTTTGAATGACTTTTTTTTAGACTTTATTTAAAATAAATTGCACGTGGTATATTGTAGATTTAACTTTTCTCATTCTGGGTAGATGTCATATGGCGTCCTCCCGGATTTTGCAACTCACGCACCGCCGCGTTGTAGGACCGATCTGTCACTGTACCGTTTCGCTGCCAGTACCATGAGATCACTGTGACCAATCACAGCAGATCACATGAAAACTGTAAACAATGAATGGCTTCGATTCATACCATTCATTGTGTACGATTGTGTTGCTAGCTGTGATTGGTCAGGGTGATCACATGGCACAGACAGGGCCAATAACAGCTAATCTGTACCATGTAATTAGCTGTGGCCAATCACAGCTAATGACAACAAAACATAGTGAATGAATCGATTTCAGTCAGTGGAAATGCTTGCTTTTAGCAGTGAAATTAACTGTTGTAAGCAATTATGCGTAAAAAATAAAAGAAAAAAATCCTGATCACTTCCCCAGAGCAGTATCATGTTACTATGGTAACATTATATTGCTCTGGTCACAGTGTGTTAAAAAAAATTGTGAAAAAGAAAAATTGAAAAAAAAAAGAAATTTTTTTTTTTGACTATCACCAGTCAGTGTCCCTGATAACCGCCACGCCAGTCATATGATGACGCTGTACTGCACTGGTGAAAAAATTAAAAAACTGTGTGAAAAAAATTACAAACTTCAAAAAAACTCTCTATGCCTCTTCGTACTAAATACCTTAGACTGTCTACCATCCAATAGGGGTCATTTGGGGGGATTTGTACCGTCCTGACATTTGGGGGGATTTGTACCGTCCTGACATTTGGAGGGATTTGTACCGTCCTGACATTTGGAGGGATTTGTACCGTCCTGACATTTGGGGGGATTTGTACTGTCCTGACATTTGGGGGGGTTTGTACCGTCCTGACATTTGGGGGGGTTTCTACTCTCCTGACATTTGGGGGGATTTGTACCGTCCTGACATTTGGGGAATATTTGTACCGTCCTGACATTTGGAGGGATTTGTACCGTCCTGACATTTGGGGGGATTTGTACCGTCCTGACATTTGGGGGGGTTTGTACCGTCCTAACATTTGGGGGGGATTTGTACCGTCCTGACATTTGGGGGGTTTGTACCGTCCTAACATTTGGGGGGGATTTGTACCGTCCTGACATTTGGGGGGGATTTGTACCATTCTGGCATCTAGAGGGGATTTGTACCGTCCTGACATTTGGGGGGGTTTGTACCGTCCTGACATTTGGGGGGATTTGTACCGTCCTGACATTTGGGGGGATTTGTACCGTCCTGGCATTTGTGGGGGGATTTGTACCGTCCTGGCATTTGTGGGGGGATTTGTACCGTCCTGACATTTGGGGGGGTTTATACCGTCCTGACATTTGGGGGGGTTTATACCGTCCTGACATTTGGGGAATATTTGTAGTGTCCTGACAATTGGGGGGATTTGTACCGTCCTGACATTTGGGGGGGTTTGTACCGTCCTGACATTTGGGGGGATTTGTACCGTCCTGACATTTGGGGGGATTTGTACCGTCCTGACATTTGGGGGGGTTTATACCGTCCTGACATTTGGGGAATATTTGTAGTGTCCTGACAATTGGGGGGATTTGTACCGTCCTGACATTTGGGGGGGTTTGTACTGTCCTGACATTTGGGGGGGATTTGTACCGTCCTGACATTTGGGGGGATTTGTATTGTCCTGACATTTGGGGGGATTTGTACCGTCCTGACATTTGGGGAATATTTGTACCGTCCTGACATTTGGGGGGGATTTGTACCGTCCTGGCATTTGGGGGGATTTGTACCGTCCTGGCATTTGGGGGGATTTGTACCGTCCTGACATTTGGGGGAATTTGTACCTAACCTCCTGACATTTGGGGGGGTTTTATACCGTCCTGACATTTGGGGAATATTTGTAGTGTCCTGACAATTGGGGGGATTTGTACCGTCCTGACATTTGGGGGGGATTTGTACCGTCCTGACATTTGGGGGGGGTTTGTACCGTCCTGACATTTGGGGGGGATTTGTACCGTCCTGACATTTGGGGGGGTTTGTACCGTCCTGACATTTGGGGGGGATTTGTACCGTCCTGACATTTGGGGGGATTTGTACCGTCCTGACATTTGGGGAATATTTGTACCGTCCTGACATTTGGGGGGATTTGTACCGTCCTGACATTTGGGGGGATTTGTACCATCCTGACATTTGGGGGAATTTGTACCGTCCTGAAATTTGGGGGGGATTTGTACCGTCCTGGCATTTGTGGGGGGGATTTGTACCGTCCTGACATTTGGGGGGGGTTTTGTACCGTCCTGACATTTGGGGGGATTTGTATTGTCCTGACATTTGCGGGGATTTGTACCGTCCTGACATTTGGGGGGATTTGTACCGTCCTGACATTTGGGGAATATTTGTACCGTCCTGACATTTGGGGGGGATTTGTACCGTCCTGACATTTGGGGGGATTTGTACCGTCCTGACATTTGGGTGGATTTGTACCATCCTGACATTTGGGGGGATTTGTACCCTCCTGACATTTGGGGGGATTTGTACCGTCCTGACATTTGGGGGGATTTGTACCGTCCTGACATTTGGGGGGGATTTGTACCGTCCTGACATTTGGGGGGGTTTGTACCGTCCTGACATTTGGGGGGGATTTGTACCGTCCTGACATTTGGGGGGGTTTGTACCGTCCTGACATTTGGGGGGGATTTGTACCGTCCTGACATTTGGGGGGATTTGTACCGTCCTGACATTTGGGGAATATTTGTACCGTCCTGACATTTGGGGGGATTTGTACCATCCTGACATTTGGGGGAATTGTACCGTCCTGAAATTTGGGGGGATTTGTACCGTCCTGGCATTTGTGGGGGGGATTTGTACCGTCCTGACATTTGGGGGGGGTTTGTACCGTCCTGACATTTGGGGGGATTTGTATTGTCCTGACATTTGGGGGGATTTGTACCGTCCTGACATTTGGGGGGATTTGTACCGTCCTGACATTTGGGGAATATTTGTACCGTCCTGACATTTGGGGGGGATTTGTACCGTCCTGACATTTGGGGGGATTTGTACCGTCCTGACATTTGGGTGGATTTGTACCGTCCTGACATTTGGGGGGATTTGTACCGTCCTGACATTTGGGGGGGGGATTTGTACCGTCCTGACATTTGGGGGGATTTGTACCGTCCTGACATTTGGGGGGGATTTGTACTGTCCTGACATTTGGGGGGGATTTGTACCGTCCTGACATTTGGGGGATATCTGTACTGTTCTGACATTTTTGGGCCTGAAGAAATGAGATCTCCCGTCAGTACATCAGGATCAATTTTCTGATATCTCTCGTAGTTTGTGGGCTTTGGGGTCTTTAACCCTCTGTAAGCTCCAACATGGAGGACTCCAGCAGACAAATGGAGCACGGCACAGGTTTATACTGGGGGGTGAGGGACACCCCAACAAGAGAGCCTGCCTGGTTTCCATGAATGATCAAAGATCCTGTTTACCTGGATATTCCGTAAAGCTCCATTAGAGCGAGAATATCTACAAGACCAGAAAGATTCCGTATCCTAGCAGGATGGAAGGCCTCCATGGACCCCCGTGCTTCGCTCACCCCTGGATACCGCGCACTCAGCGGACGCGGCGCGAGGCCGCTCACAGAAGCCGGCGATCGATATTCAGAGTGGGCTGATAGACTTCAATCGATAGATGAAGGAGGAGAAACGAAAGACGCCCGCTGAGAGGATCAAACCTGTTTCTATGTGATCACAGCAAGACGCCTTCTTCCAGGAAAGCCGTTCGAGAGTCTGGCGTCTGACTCTTCCCATGACTACTTACCTCCCGCAGGACCGCCCTTCAGATTATTCGACAAAAGCAAAGTTATAAGGTCATACCTCCTGACTTCCTGAGACGGGAAATTACGTTTTATTTATTTATTTCCAATGCCGAATGCACTGGCAGGACATACGGTGCGTCCTCACATGTGCACCCGCTGGTTTGAATCCCAACCACAGCACCACTTGCCTGGAGTTTGCATGTTATCCCTGTGCCTGCGTGGGTTTCCTCCGGGTACTCCGGTTTCCTCCCACACTCCAAAGACATGATGGTAGGTGAATTGGCTCCTGTCTAAATTGGCCCTTGTACATGTATGTATGAATGTGAGTTGTTAGGGATCCTAGATTGAACGCCCCTTGAGGGTTAGGGACTGATGTGAATGTACAATATATATATATATATATAAGTAAAGCGCGGCGTAAATTAACGGAGCTATACGAGTACCTGAAATAAATAAATACAGTTACATAGTCCGGCTGAAAAAAGACAAAAGTCCATCCAGTTCAATCATATAAAAAAAAGTTATAATCCGACACCCACAGTTGATCCAGAGGAAGGCAAAAAAGCCCAGCAAAGCACGATCCAATGTGCTCCTGCAGGGGAAAAATTCCTTCCTGACCCCCCGAGAGGCAATCGGATATTCCCGGGATCAATATTCGGATATTCCCTGGATCAATAATCGGATATTCCCTGGATCAATATTCGGATATTCCCTGGATCAATATTCGGATATTCCCTGGATCAACTTTCCCTATAAATGTTCTATCCAGTTATATTCTGTGTATCCAAGAAAGAATCCAGGACTTTCCTACAGCAATCCACTGAGCTGCCACAACCATCTCTGGAGGGAGTCTATTCCACATTCTCACAGCTCTTACTGTGAAGAAACCTTTCCATGTTTGGAGATGACATTTCTTTTCCTCCAGACGTAAAGAGTGCCCCCTTCTCCTCTGTGATGACCTCAGGGGGAATAACTACACCGAGTTCACTATATGAACCACTGATGTATTATACATGGAGATCATATCCCCCCTTATGTATTATACATGGAGATCATATCCCCCCCTTATGTATTATACATGGAGATCATATCCCCCTTATGTATTATACATGGAGATCATATCCCCCCTTATGTATTATACATGGAGATCATATCCCCCCCTTATGTATTATACATGGAGATCATATCCCCCCTTATGTATTATACATGGAGATCATATCCCCCTTATGTATTATACATGGAGATCATATCCCCCCCTTATGTATTATACATGGAGATCATATCCCCCCCTTATGTATTATACATGGAGATCATATCCCCCCCCTTATGTATTATACATGGAGATCATATCCCCCTTATGTATTATACATGGAGATCATATCCCCCCCTTATGTATTATACATAAAGATCATATCCCCCCTTATGTATTATACATGGAGATCATATCCCTCCTTATGTATTATACATGGAGATCATACCCCCCCTTATGTATTATACATGGAGATCATATCCCCCCCTTATGTATTATACATGGAGATCATATCCCCCCCTTATGTATTATACATGGAGATCATATCCCCCTTATGTATTATACATGAGATCATATCCCCCCCCTTATGTATTATACATGGAGATCATATCCCCCCTTATGTATTATACATGGAGATCATATCCCTCCTTATGTATTATACATGGAGATCATATCCCCCCTTATGTATTATACATGGAGATCATATCCCCCCCCTTATGTATTATACATGGAGATCATATCCCCCCCTTATGTATTATACATGGAGATCATATCCCCCCTTATGTATTATACATGGAGATCATATCCCCCCCTTATGTATTATACATGGAGATCGTATCCCCCTTATGTATTATACATGGAGATCGTATCCCCCCTTATGTATTATACATGGAGATCGTATCCCCCCTTATGTATTATACATGGAGATCGTATCCCCCCTTATGTATTATACATGGAGATCGTATCCCCCCTTATGTATTATACATGGAGATCGTATCCCCCCTTATGTATTATACATGGAGATCGTATCCCCCCTTATGTATTATACATGGAGATCGTATCCCCCCCCTTATGTATTATACATGGAGATCGTATCCCCCCTTATGTATTATACATGGAGATCGTATCCCCCCCTTATGTATTATACATGGAGATCATATCCCCCCTTATGTATTATACATGGAGATCATATCCCCCCTTATGTATTATACATGGAGATCATATCCCCCCCTTATGTATTATACATGGAGATCATATCCCCCCCTTATGTATTATACATGGAGATCATATCCCCCCCTTATGTATTATACATAAAGATCATATCCCCCCCTTATGTATTATACATGGAGATCATATCCCCCCCTTATGTATTATACATGGAGATCATATCCCCCCTTATGTATTATACAAGGAGATCATATCCTCCCTTATGTATTATACAAGGAGATCATATCCCTCCTTATGTATTATACAAGGAGATCATATCCCCCCTTATGTATTATACATGGAGATCGTATCCCCCCTTATGTATTATACAAGGAGATCATATCCTCCCTTATGTATTATACATGGAGATCATATCCCCCTTATGTATTATACAAGGAGATCATATCCCCCCCTTATGTATTATACATGGAGATCATATCCCCCTTATGTATTATACATGGAGATCATATCCCCCCCTTATGTATTATACATAAAGATCATATCCCCCCCTTATGTATTATACATGGAGATCATATCCCCCCCTTATGTATTATACATGGAGATCATATCCCTCCTTATGTATTATACATGGAGATCATACCCCCCCTTATGTATTATACATGGAGATCATATCCCCCCCTTATGTATTATACATGGAGATCATATCCCCCCCTTATGTATTATACATGGAGATCATATCCCCCCCTTATGTATTATACATGGAGATCATATCCCCCCTTATGTATTATACATGGAGATCATATCCCCCTTATGTATTATACATGGAGATCATATCCCCCCTTATGTATTATACATGGAGATCATATCCCCCCTTATGTATTATACATGGAGATCATATCCCCCCTTATGTATTATACATGGAGATCATATCCCCCCTTATGTATTATACATGGAGATCATATCCCCCCTTATGTATTATACATGGAGATCATATCCCCCCCCCTTATGTATTATACATGGAGATCATATCCCCCCTTATGTATTATACATGGAGATCGTATCCCCCTTATGTATTATACATGGAGATCGTATCCCCCCTTATGTATTATACATGGAGATCGTATCCCCCCTTATGTATTATACATGGAGATCGTATCCCCCCTTATGTATTATACATGGAGATCGTATCCCCCCCCTTATGTATTATACATGGAGATCGTATCCCCCCTTATGTATTATACATGGAGATCGTATCCCCCCTTATGTATTATACATGGAGATCGTATCCCCCCTTATGTATTATACATGGAGATCATATCCCCCCTTATGTATTATACATGGAGATCATATCCCCCCTTATGTATTATACATGGAGATCATATCCCCCCCCCCTTATGTATTATACATGGAGATCATATCCCCCCTTATGTATTATACATGGAGATCATATCCCCCCTTATGTATTATACATGGAGATCATATCCCCCCTTATGTATTATACATGGAGATCATATCCCCCCCTTATGTATTATACATGGAGATCATATCCCCCTTATGTATTATACATGGAGATCATATCCCCCCTTATGTATTATACATGGAGATCATATCCCCCCTTATGTATTATACATGGAGATCATATCCCCCCTTATGTATTATACATGGAGATCATATCCCCCCCTTATGTATTATACATGGAGATCATATCCCCCCTTATGTATTATACATGGAGATCATATCCCTCCTTATGTATTATACATGGAGATCATATCCCCCCCTTATGTATTATACATGGAGATCATATCCCCCTTATGTATTATACATGGAGATCATATCCCCTCTGCACAGAATCAATGACAGGACAGGAATGGCAATGTACAGAGGCTTCCACTTCATTCACAAACTGAAGCATAGTAAACACGGTGTATACACTTCAGTAATGTGTGGACGGAGCTCTGTGATCAGTTCGGGTCACTTACTTTGCCATTTCAGACAAGGATGGGGCCGTATATTACATATTTACCATCCCCTTCCCAGCTCTCCATCCTGGCAAACAGAACCCCCTGCAGCAGCAGGCAGGAGGGGGAGGGGAGAACCCAGCAGTGCTGTGGGGGAAAGAGGGGATGACCAGGAGACAATACAGGGGGGACTGGGGAAGACAACGGGGACCAGAGAAGAACACAAGGACCGCAGAAGAGCACAAGGACGATAGAAGAGCACAAGGACCGCAGAAGAGCACAAGGACCGCAGAAGAGCACAAGGACCGCAGAAGAGCACAAGGACCATAGAAGAGCACAAGGACCGCAGAAGAGCACAGGGACCGCAGAAGAGCACAGGGACCGCAGAAGAGCACAAGGACCGCAGAACAGCACAAGGACCGCAGAACAGCACAAGGACCATAGAAGAGCACAA